ATCACCGCGGTATCTGAGACCATTTTGTGTTTGCCTTCCACATGCTGCTTCTTTTTTCACGGCTGAACTCCAGATCATTTTAAGGTGCTTTAGAGTTCACTTCATTCAATCATTACCTATTGAATACATGTCATATTTACTGTTTCTTCTCCCTCGCTAAATAATACACAATAAGCACATTGTGTATTATGATTTGTGTATCTTGTTTTTTTTTGTTTTTTTTTTTTCTTGTTTTTTTTTTTTTTTGGGGGGGGGGGGTGTCTTACCCAATGAGGCGTCCTTGTTGCGTAATATTAAACAGTCGTTTTTATAGCTTTGAGATGGAGATGTAATTATTCACAGACGCGTGGATAAATGTAGAATCTTTATTAATCGGAGTATAAACTGTGACATCTGACGTAGGCCAGTACGTGTAGGTGACTCTCCGTATACCTAATGGACATATGTCATAATAATGTCTGTTGGCAGGACAACATCGACAGTCAAGCTTTCAATGCTTATACAAGAACGTCTTCTTTTATATCTTGTATATTAGTTTTGTAACTGCTAGAATAAAATGTTCTTAAATCCACTTAGTATTCGATTCCTATAAACTCGAACTATGGTATGGTATGTTTTGGAACGCTCTTTAGACCCATTCGATGAAATCTGTAGACCCACGAATTTGCCTTCACTTGTCTTACACAGTACCATGTAATACTTTTCTTTACTGTTGTTTAATATTGGACTTGGCCAGAACTTTCATGAAGTTGACTGAAATGTCTGCCATTTTAGAGAGAATATTTATGATGTACTGAGTGAGAAGGTAGTGTTTGGGAAAATGCAAGGTGTCGAACACTATATTATAACATACCTTTACTAACAATACACTTGTTCTAATAATCAATCCAGTGAAAACATTTATTTACAGAATATAATTAACAGAACACAGTTTTTATGGGATACAATCACTAGTTTATTCTAAAAGCACGACGTTTCGACAAGTATCCTCTTATCGTTATCAATGTGCTTGATAACGATAAGAGGATACTTGTCGAAACGTCGTGCTTTTAGAATAAACTAGTGATTGTATCCCATAAAAACTGTGTTCTGTTAATTTGTTCCCTGATCGCTAAATGCCACTTAATGAATTACAGAATATACTTCGTCGATTAAAAACTGCGAAGAATCAATAGGAAGAATGCATTATGTAAGATTTAGATAAAGAGCTCGTCAAAAATAAATAACCATATTTTGAGCGATGTTATCAGCCTCTGAAATGTTATCATTGTAGCGATAATGAACAAAGTCTCGATTATCAATTGATTAAATCAAATTAATTAAACGGAGGCCGTGTTTCAATACATTTAAAATAGGATCATCCAATATTCTAGAGAGGTGCTTATAGGCTTGTCATGTGTATAAATTCCTAAATAATAGTTTATATAACATTTGAGGTCCATAGAAAAAATGTGATAGACAGATTTAGCCCTTACAAAGTATATCTTTAAAAAAAGTTTTATTTTTACATTGAATTAATATAATCATTGCAAATCGTTTTAAAATGGTCTAAACCGTTGCACTGCGGTTGGCCCAGAACTGAGACCAAGTCGATCGTGGGTTCGCTCCAACAATGTGATAATGTGTAGAATTGGTTGCCTAACTTCGCGCTAACCCATGCGAATTATTTAGAATTTAAGTTTTGTTGTTCCGGCAGCCTGGCAGCATATGGTCATTGGGATGGTTCAATAAACAGAGATTGTTCAAATCTGAAAAGCATATACACCAATCTTTGATATTAGGAGTCCTCCCCATCGATACACAAGTACCCACAGTGAAATAACCACAGGTTAGTCTAACACTACATTCGTATTCATGAAATAAAAAGTATTACCATAAATAATATTACTAATTTAATTGAATGAACATTGGTCACGTCTTAGATTTTCGAGTTGCTTTCCTGATTCCATGAAGTGTGAGATTTCGGCGTTCTTGCTACCACGCGGTTGGGGTCCGCTATTTTTTTTTCAGTTTTGGAAATGACCCTTCATGTCTTTATACGAGCGATGCGAATACTCGTTAAACTGACAGCGTTTACCGGAAAATTATACCGATATGTAAAGGTTTCATTTACACCACCATACACAATATTATGCCGTTTTCAGTTTGATAATAAAACACTTCACCGTTTTATAAACGTAAACACTGTGAACGATTTCTACCATCGCGTCCGAACATCTAACGCCCCTGCTAATATCAATGGACAAAGTGTTAATTTTAATTACAAATTTTTTATATTTTGAATTTAAACAACAGCGGAATAAGATTAATTCATATCTGAATACAAATGAGGTGTCATTTACGTGATTTGATAATATTAGAAAATAAAGTATTCACGAACGTATTGTCGTAATCAGCACTTCCGTTGCGCGGCAATTCGACACAAAAAGATAAATAAATATGCAGTAAATACTTTTTGACTTATACATCACAATTATCGATAAATCAGATGTTTAATTGAAATATTATAGACTATTGACCATCATTTGCAAGAACTGTCACATCCTGATGAGCTCGAAATTAAAAAAAACCTCTGAAAGTGACAATTACGCTTCCTACTTTGATCTGCGTCTCGATTTTGACAATTGCCATAAACTTAGTGTTAAATTGTACGATAAACGTGGTGACTTTGACTTTCCGATTGTTAACTTTCCATTTATTAGTAGTAATATTCCGATATCACCAGCTTATGGAGTGTTTGTGTCTCAGCTAATCCGTTACGCGAGAGCTTGTTCATTTTATTCTGATTTTTTTAAGTACATCGAGGCATTTGTCACCTAAGCTTCAACTACAGGTATACTTGCGAACTAAACTTATTAAAACTTTTAAAAAGTTTTATGGCCGTCATATTGACTTGATTGGTAAATATAACATGTCTCTCTCGGCTATTATTCTAGATATATTTAATTGACGCGTATACTATCTCCCTGATAATGTCTGTCTACTACACGTGCATTTTGCATACCGATAGTCCATTGGCCAATCACGCTATTTTACCGAGATTTCGCCTAATAGTTTGGATGCAGCTATGGCGGGTGTGGCGCCAGGCAGGGTAAGCTTACTCTTCCGGACACCTGTTACCACTGTTTGTCGTGTATTTTGTACACGGTAAACAGTCCATATGCTGATTACACTATTTTGCCTGATTACACTATTTTGCCTATGCCGTTTTTTTAGGACTTCGAATTTTGTCTAATGGTTTGGATTGTTCGTACTTAGTTTTATTTTATTTATATCTTTTAATATCAACATTATTCATATGGAGCGTTCTATAAATTGATGAAAACAGAACTGTCAAAGTGTAAGCTATCATGGCTACCGTTGTCAAGTGTTGGTAAATGTAAACAAAAAGGCACATTTATAAATTATTATTCATTTATGTTAAAATAATAAGCATTTTGAGGGTTTGGTATAGAATTTGTTACCTAAATATAATTCTTGTATGGCAAATTCTTTTCTGTGGAGTACCATTTGCAAAATATCATATGTTCTAACCAAACATTCAACTGAACATTTCCACATTCAAAGATTAAACACTGCCATGAGTTTGAATAAATATTGAATAAAACGTATTGCAATATATTTTAATGTAAAACTTAGTAAATACGTATGTCCAATGTTTAATTGTCAGTGTATCTTTATGCTTCCAGGCCAAAAGTTTCAAAAGGGTGAAATTATAAAAGTGTTAGCAATGTGTATTCATTAGGCCTATAAAAATAGCTGAAAACAAAAGGAGTTTGAAGGAAATTATCATTCAGGATTTACTATTTTCAATAAAGACTCGAAATATTTCATCTAGATGATGTTTATAATGGTATTCCATACAAAAAGTCTGAAAGTAGTCCCTTGAAAAAATGGAGGATATTTGAAAAAAAAGGTTTGATTATATGGACTTCTAAAACAAAGATAGTTTTCAAAATTTGAAGTTTTGATGGTTGAAGTGTATATAATATTCAGGCATCTATGTGAGACTTTGTGATTTCCCAGGTTGTCTTGTTTACCCTGTAGCTGCGCAGTGTTGAATGGCATATTTGTTTCATATTATCCAAAGTCATTATTTTTAATATACATTCATTTTTTTTATTGTTAAAGCGGAAATTGCAAATTTTCTAAGAAAGTCAAAACGTAATTATTTCTATGTCTTTTGCTCAATAGGTTGTCAACTCACAATTATACGATCGTAGGTATCATTCTCACACTTAAAACTCATTTACACAGGAAATAATAACACAATTACCTCCCAATTACCTGCCTTGTTTTCTATTCTCCACCATGGAGTAGCTTTTTACAAACGTTTGAAAATGAAGAGGAAAATGATATTTTTGCCAATTTCTCAGCTGGCAATAGTGAATTATAGGATTAATAGGACTGTTATGGATACCATCTATTTTCAGGCTTTATTTTAATAACTTTTTTTTTGGGGGGGGGGGGGGGGTTGGATGGCTGAATGGTTAGCGTGCGCGCGCTGTATCATACAGTCTGTCATTGAGTCGACTGGCGTGGTTTCGAATCCCCGGTTGTACGTGGCAAGGAGTAGGGTCGCCTGTCCAACCTCGTGGGTTTTCTCCGGGTCCTCCGGTTTCCTCCAACTGCTAAAGACCCCTACGCGCAAGCGAATTATGTAAATAAAATTAAACCATATGTTAGTCCCGAAATGACCTAGTTTGTGTCGATGGACGTTAAACCTCATTTCTCTCTCTCTCTCTTTAATAACTTTTAAAAATATAACTTAAAAATTTGCAATTTCCGCTTTAAGTATCACCTCAAGCACATTTAGATACCAAAATATCGGCACTAAGACTGTTGTAAATGATTTTTTGAGGACACCCCCCACCCATTTAAGGTGTTGTGACAATTTTTGTCAATTTACCTTGACCTTAATCAAAAATAAAAGTAATAAGTTTCTGAAGGGTTTAAGGCTATATAAAATAGATTTTCTGGCTCTCAGATACCCCGTAACACTTTAAAAAAAGACCACATGACCCGTTTCTATTTTAAAAAAGTGTCTCATTAATTACCGCAGGTAAATATTTTACCACAGTTACAGGAAGAAAATTATACAAAACTTTGAATGAATCCAGAAATATAATATATAGGATTAATATCAGGTAGTGATTAAAATTCCCTTCTACATATTTTTGGTAATGATTATCAGAGAACCAGATTTTAAATAGACTAAATAAGAAACCGTTTAGATTACAAACATCAACAACCGCCATCTACACATCTCTTTCCTGAGCAGGAAGATTTGATTCTCTATTGTGACGTCGCCTAAGCACCCAGATTAGAGTACCAAAAGCTGCGGCACCGAGTAAAGCTGCCCCTGTCGTTATTCCGACTATTGTTGCCCATTCATTGATTAATTTATCCAAATTTAATTTATCGGTCCCATTTGTGTCCATGTCTGTGGATAGATTGACCATAGTTGTTTTATTCTGGAAACTAACCGTAATTGGATATATATTATTCTCCGTAACCAACACAGTTTCTGTTGTACTGTGATTTTCTTGTCTGCTTTGGGCTTTTTTAAATGTGTGAATTCTAGTTTGAAAAGTAGATAATTTAAATTTTGATTTAACAAACGACCGTGATGATCGAGTTAAGGAACTGTTAGTCATTAATTCATCTGGTATTTCGACGGTGAGCGGTTGTTGCGCTTTCTTAGTAACAAGAGTCGAAGTTGTGAATGGAACAGTTGTATGTCTTTCTGCCATGTTGCTGTAAACTGTACCTTCAAAATCTGTTGTTGAAAGCATAGTCGATGTGGTGGTCTCAATATTCAAATCGACTAAAGTTTTAAAACTTGACCTAGTTCGACTGTTCGTTGGCGTTGTGAAATATCTTCCTGGTTTGGTGTCATTTGTTATGTAAGTAGCAGTCGTGCCAGATGGATTCGGTGTTGTGAAACTTTCACTAGTTGTGCCAGATGAATCCGGTGTTGTGAAATCTTCACTTGTAGCAGTAATTAATGAACGTGTATTATAAGAATCGTACATGTTAGTTGGTCTGTCAGATCCAGTCTGTTCTGTAGAATCGGTTGCTACATCACTGAACATTTTATACAAAGTTGTATCAGTCAGTCGACGTGCGGAAGTCACTTCTATAGCTGTGGTTCTTCTTGTAGTTGTCTTTAATCCTAAAATTATGAAATAAATTGTTTTTTCAAGACATCCTGCTCTCAATACAGCTCAATTAATGTTGAAAACATTGCAAAAGGAATCAAAATGAAATAATATGGGGACTGTCGGGTGCTGGGATGTGGGGGGGGGGGGGGTCTACTTTTCATCGCATTCAAACTGCTACAGGTGTATTTTACGAACAATTTTACGTACACGCCAATGTTTGCACGGATATAATTAACATGTGCACTAGACACGTGTTCTGTTGTCTGGAATATAATCAATAGAAATTATTCAACGTAGGCAGGGGTCTGTCCACGCCAACCAGCAACGCCGTTCGTCCTACCTATAAAACCAAGCTCTAGAAAAACGATAATGGTGTCCTGTACTGCGATTTAATATTAGTAAAAATCTTAATTTTGTTAAGGTTCTAGCTTAGCCACCCACCCACCCTAATTAAAAATTGAAACATCTAAACTGTTTTCTTTTTTCACAATCGATAAATGAAATATTATCGTTACAATTGTCCTATATCGTGTTTCTTAGCTTAAAAATGTTAGAAGGGAGACAACTCCTTACGTCCCAATGAATAATCGAATCATTTAATAAAACTTTCAGTCGAGTACTACCTCTAAATGAACTAAAAGGTCCCTTGGCAGAAGGTTTTTACCATCAAAAGAGTTGCATATAATAACGTCCTACTTTTCTGCACCGACTGGACTAATGGAGATGGACATAGGGTGTGCTCTCGGCTTTTCGTTCCATCCGAACGATTATACACTGTCCTTGCAAAGTCCTCTGACCTGCATCACTAACAAGCAGGAAACACACAGAAAAATCTCGAAGGCCTTTTTCAGCCAAAACCAGGGGGCGAAACGGAGACCTCATAGTAACCAAGCCAGCGTCTTACTCGCTAAGTCACCGCAACTTCCACAGAATCATTAAACAATGCGTCCCACTGATCGTTAAAGGGCCAATGTTTTGGAGAATAGTACTGCTTAAGTTTGTGTTAAAAGCCCTAAAAATCCGTTACCTTAGGGCCGAGGAACTAACTCAATATACGTGATACGTTTTCAAACAACTTAAACCCGCCAGTCTTCATCTGAAAATGGAGACCGAAGTCCCAAGCTGTCTGGATAATAAAACTGTGTAATAAAATGCTAACCACCTACCTTCACACGCTGCCTGGAACAATGTAGTTTTTAAATTATTTAATTTATCAAAATTATCGACCTGAATAGCCAAATTTCTATCAGAGGCTATAGTGTGTAATTCTGTGGCATCAACTTTATCTCCAACTCCTATAGATACAATGTCAACACCACGGTCGTGAAGTACCTTAGCTGAAGAAATCGTTTCTTCTGGCTTGTTTGACTTTCCATCAGTGATCACAATTATCAAATCTGGTGCTGCTTCTCGGTCACCATGGTCATTTGATAGTACATAGTCATTCGTAAAACGCAACGCATGTGCAGTAGCTGTGCTTCCACCTCTGTAGGGAATTTTCATAACCACACTTTTGATTTTGGCTTTATCACTGAAATCATTCAACCAAAATATTTTCTTTGGTTTTGTGCTAAATAGAATTAAACTTACTTGCACTTTATCCGCAGCAATTTGTAAACTGTCAACGAAATTCCTTACGAATAATTTTGATTTGTAGAAATTATGCGCTCCCACACTTCCCGAAGAATCTAATAAAAGAACGATATCCCTCTGGCCTTCATCATATTCTGAAATAAATAGAAAAGTAATCCATTCTTCCATTCTTCGATGATCTTATACCATATCATCACTATCATATTCACAGTTATAAATGATTGCCCATTTAGTTGTACCACAAGTGGGTGGGTCGTGGGGTGACTGTACAAATGACCTGGCAACTCTCATAAAACAGGCGGAATTGACAGGCAGGTCTCGAGATTCTGTCCCATTTCCTACCTTCTGCTTCACGAGAATTTCCTCTATAAATGAACTCCAATGCCAGGAAATTGACTAAAAATTTTCTGGCCCAGTCCCAGGGGTGTTCTCTCACACCGGAGCTGAAGGGGGGGCTTCCTTCCCCGAGAAAATTGTTGACAATAGGGTGCAGAAACGATGATATCTGTCTTCAGACAGGCTACCAGTTAAAACCTATCAGATCAAAATACAACTCAGATCACTAGAATCAATAACCGATTCGGTTCTCTTCAAATCGAACAACAATCTTGAATCCTGTATTTATACAATTTCATCAGATATCTTAAAAAATAAAAAAATCTTATCATGACATACACTGTAAAATATTCATTATTTATGTGGCCGAATTCCGTAGTTTAACACATTTTTTCTGTTAATCGATGGCCTTTTTGGGAGAAATTGTGTTAAAAGTGTGAACTATTTCTTCAAATTACGTGTTTTATGTATTTCTATGGAACATTCAGTATTAAACAGGAAAGAGCTTAATTCTGTTATTTTACGGAATTAACGGTGGAATGACCAGGAATTTCCGTGAAATGTAGGGATAAAATGTTTTATTCCATTCTATAATGGACTTAATTATAAAATGGAATGACCAGAAATTTACGGATTATTTCTGTTTTAAAATACAACGATAAGTAATCGTATACATATATAATCATTCCTAATGATTATCATGTTATAGTATTCATTTCAAGTTATTAACCATAATATGCAGAATTATATTTTGTAAACTTTGGTATATTACATGTCATGTATATCCAATTTCCATTATTTATAAAATCTATAAAGTTTATTGTTATTCATCATACGTTAATCAGATTGTAAGTATTTTCATCAATGTATAAAAATATGTTTTAACGCTCCGTATGTATAGGTTGTATTATCTGGTGATCAAGCACGCTTAAATCCGAATAGTATAGTATAGTATAGTATTGGCTAGTTTCAGCCGGTTTGTCTCTATGGCAGAGTTTGCATACCTGAAAGCCTTACTGACGAGCAGTGGTTTGTGATACCTTGCTCTCGAATAAGATATTCGGTATTCTTCTATTAGGGGAAAAAGGTTGCGAATAAATGCATCTACTTCGTCCAATCGATTTTTATGAATAGAAGCCAACTGTGTGAACCCACACTCAAGTATCTGCTCACTAACCGGACATGAGCACGAGATAGGATCTTCCCCTTACCTAAGCAACCAGTGCTCGAACACATATCGATTGTTATAACCGGTGAAGATTTGAAGCGAGAAGGATGGTCAGACAATCTCATTACTGGTATACGAAAAACATTTCAAAGGACAGTCAGCAAAAAAGTAAGGACAGCGGTTCAATTGCTCCGTGCTTTTCGGGACAGGGGGTATTTGCTTGCACCCATAGCCCCGCCGTTTCGGCGCCCATGTCCAGTCCCAAACATTAAAAGCTGAGTTAAATAGTGTATGTTGTTATCTGAATTTTTTTTCGCGGCTACCGCGCTAGATTCCATTATGGCAACATTATTCCACTATCACATCACTATCATATTCACAGTTATAGTGAAGAGCTCAATTTGTAGTACCAGAAAACTGGCGGAATTGAAAAACAGGTTTCGGGTTTGTGTCCCATTGGCTCTCATTTCTGATCCTCTCTTTCACAAGAATTTGCTCTCAGCAATGACCTCACACGATAGGATATTGACTCAAATTTTCAAAATTTTCTCACGGGGTTACCCCTCTACCCAATCCCCTCAGATTGCTCACTGTGATAATGCCACTGCCCCTAGGGTTCACAAAAAATGTGTACACGGAACCTCGGCTTTTCGTCCATCTGAACGACTAGATAACTGTCTTTGTCAGGTCCTCCGTCCTGCGCCACTGACAAGGGGAAAACACGCCGGAAAATCCTGATGAACTTTCTCGGCCAACACCGGGACAGATGTGGAACCGCCCCCACCCCGTATTCGCAGAATCTAGATCTGCTACTGAAAACCCCAAACATAAATCTAAATACCAGAGATTGAAAACAAAGGATATAACTTCGTTATAAATCTCAAGGATAATATTATGAAACCATACTATAATCGTTTCTATAACAATTTATCTATATCAAATATTATGTAATAATCCCTTTAGATGTCTTCGATAATGTACACGCTTTATTGTGGCGGACCGAAAGAGATATAGTAGAGGCTGTTGTTGGCAAGCGCATATTCCTGGTCATTATCCGTATCGATTTTGCTTTTGACGTCATCAAGGTCTTTTTACCGTCTTTTTTGCTTTTAGACGCTGAAATGTTTCTATGAATCTATGTATATCCTAGAACACGAATATGTATATTTGATGTGGTTTTAACCATGATAAAGACTGGAATTTAATCAGTATTTTTGACGAGTTTTTCTCGGAATTGTCATGTTGTTCCTGTCTGTCTGTCTTCCATGTTGGTTAAACTACGTGCTAAATTTAGTTAAGTGGGACCTTGCAAATGTGTAAATGAGGTGATTCTAACGGTGGCTAATAAGGGACATGAAAAATAATATAATTTGTTTTTTTATAATTTTCACCCAAGTCAATTTTAATTTTCACCCAAGTCAATTTTAATTTCCACCCAAGTCAATCTTAATATAATTTGGTTTTTTTTTATAATTTTCACCCAAGTCAATTTTAATTTCCACCCAAGTCAATTTTAAAATAATTTGTTTTTATAATTTTCACTCAAGTCTGTTTTAATTCCCATCCAAGTCAATTTTAATTACCACCCAAGTCAATTTTAATTTAATTTGTTTTTTATAATTTCCACCGAAGTCAATTTTAATTTTCACCCATGTCATTTGTAATATAATTTCAATTCTGTTGAATTTCCACCCAGCGCGCGATGTCATCTCAATTAGCCTCGTTTCCAATATAATGTATTATGTTTTATCTTATATTAAAGAGATATTTTCATGTGGACGTATATTTTCGTTTCCCTTGTCCGTCCGGACGTCCATCCACAATTTGTTTCTGGACACTATACAGGTCACAATTCTTAACCGAATTTGACGATATAGGCTTATCTCCAAAAGATCTAGGTTCCTTTCGATATATGCATGTGGAGGCAGACCACCATTAAATTTCACCATCTCGGTACCCACGAATTGTAGTTCGTCTATTTATAGCAATTCTTTCTCCCTCTCTTTTCTCCCCTTTTGCATGCCCATTTTTGTTGATTTTTTTGTCTAGAATGGACGAAGAGGGTTTGAATTAACATTTTCTGCCAGGTTTTGGTAAATATTCATCATTTTGAGGCGGAAGGATAACAGGGTCATCAGGTTGGCTACGGCGATATGTACGGCAACTAGTTACATGTTTTTAGTATGCTTCTTCAAGTTTGTGTATCTCAAAATTTTGGTGGTCAACCTCATACAAATTTTAGTGAAAAGACATGACCATTTGTTCCTCTGTCTGTAGTGAAAAGCATTCAGCCCAACGAAAATTTGGGGAAAAGTCGGATTGAAACTTCATGGATTATGGCCCCTGATTGTAAGAAAAGTCACTTTTTTTAGCGTGTGGACACTCAAGAGGTCACAATTATCATCTGATTTTGGTTAAATTTGAAATGCATGTTTATAGCTCAAAGACCTTGGTTCCTTTCGATATTCGCGCTTATCGGATCTTAACTTTCTGAATTATGTCCCTTGATTGTACGAAAAAACTCGTTTTTGCTTGTGGTCCCTCTAGAGGTCACAATTTTTATCCGATTTAAAAAATAGTTTGAATATATCACCGTTACGCCCTAATGATGATTGAGTTCGAATTTTCTGAAAATCTGATCGAACCTGCCGGACAAAATGGCCGCCCCTCGTACGCAAACTTTGATGAAACTTGGAATATATATCCCAAATATCTCAGTCCATGTCGATATTCGCGCATTTCAGACCATAACTTCCTGGATTATGGCCCCTGATTGTATGTAAAATAGCTTTTTTTTGCTTGTTCTCAATCCATCTCATGCAAAATATGGGCTTATCTTGCCTGGCAACCGCTGGTTCTCATACTGTAATTAGCAGATTGCAATGTATTATGTTTTACCTTATATTAAAGAGATATTTTTCTCATTCTGTAATTACATGTATCAGATTGTAATAGATTATGTTTTACCTTATATCAAATAGATATTTTTCTCATACTTTAATTATCAGTTATTGTTTAAATTATATATGTCACCAGAAAAAACATTACTAGTGTAATAAAGATTTTTGATATTATAACATGATGACTTTTTATGTGAACACAAGCAGACCTGTCAACGTATCAAAGCCAGAAATGAGGCCTGTCATTACATTTGATTTATACTTTATGGACTGAAATTATCACAAGATCTCTAAATCAAAGGGAAGAAATCTTGACTTTCATTAAATTTTCAGAATTGAAAAGGAGGGGGGGGGGGGGGCGAATAGTTAACGTGTGTGCATTAGAGCACATAGGCCAAGTTGTTTTTTGTTATCTCTTTCCAACAAACTAAGCTGAATTCTATGTCTGGATGTTCGGTAGCGTTGTCTATGACGGATGCATACTGATATCAATACCCAGGTCCCTTGTACCCTAGTGCATTGGCGAGCATGTAAAATAACTCTTGACAGTTGAAATTTCATGTCGTGCCGCTGACAGCGGAAAATTTCCCTTCTGGCATACTGCATTCAGTAACCCAGTCGGCGTAGGACGTTAAACCCCCATTTCATTTTATTTCAGTACGTTTCACTGTCAGCTCCCGACTAAGATTGTGTCGACCCCTGCACGTTTATTTTCCCAATGGCGGGCGAAAATTAGTGTTTTGGAAACGAGGCTAATTGAGATGACATCAGGCGCTGGGTGGAAATTCAACAGAAATTATATTACAAATGACTTGGGTGAAAATTAAAATTGACTTGGGTGAAAATTATAAAAAACAAATTGAATTAAAAATGACTTGGATGGAAATTAAAATTGACTTGTGTGAAAATTATAAAAAAAAAAAAAATTATATTAAAATTGACTTGTGTGAAAATCATAAAAAAACCAAATTATATTAAAATTGACCTGGGTGGAAATTAAAATTGACTTGGGTGAAAATAAAAAAAAAATATTAAAATTGACTTGGGTGAAAATAATAAAAAAACAAATTATATTAAAATTGACTTGGGTGAAAATTATAAAAAAAACAAATTATATTAAAATTGACTTGGGTGGAAATTAAAATTGACTTACGTGAAAATTATAAAAAAAAAAAATTATATTAAAATTAAGTTGGGTGAAAATTATAAAAAACAAATTATATTACAATTATAAAAAAAAAAAAATTATATTACAATTATAAAAAAAAAAAAATTATATTACAATTGACTTGGGTGAAAATTAAAATTGAATTGGGTGAAAATTAAAATTGAATTGAGTGAAAATTACAAAAAAAAAAAATTATATTAAAATTGACTTGAGTGAATATTAAAAAAAACCCCCAAAATTATATTATTTTTCATGTCCCTTATCAGCCACCGTAGATTATATGGTAAAGTGGTATTAACTTTCTGAAATGATACGTTAGTGAAACTGAAAATTGCTGTAGAGTCGAAGTCGAAGAATTTTAATAAGATATTCGTCATTAATTTTTTTTAATAGCTCAGCTGATGGTGATCTTTGTAGATAACTGCCATCATGCTGTAATAAAAGTAAGCTCAGCTCAGCGACTCATACGTATCCGGCGCGTAAATCTGCCAAAACTCTAAAACTACATTGACGGAACGTATACGTTTGGATAGCACGAAAACCCGATGTCCCATATACACAATGGCGAGAGCACGTAAAAAAACCCCATAGCAATTCCCCTCATAGCACACTGTATGAAGTCTTCATTAGCCTAGTCGGAGTAGAAAAATAGGACATTTAACCCCATTTCATTTCATTTCATATAAAACTATCACGATAGAATAATTTATAACTATTACTAGATGAAACGAAATATTAAACAATGGATTCTAGTTATAAAAATTAATTAGAAAATAAAATTAACTATAAGTAGATCGAATGTAACAATATATGCAAAATCTATTTATGCTTTAAGAAGAAATATTGCATTTTTAACAGACGATCGCTTAAACACGTACATATTTACTATCAAGCCCTACCATATAAAAATAAATATTCGAAGTATCCGTTCAAACAAAGTCATGCATCCTGTAAAGACACCAAACAGAACTCAGGGAGCACAAGACCACGCAACAATCGTTCAAAATGCGGTTTAATACAAAGATATTTAAATGAATCCTTTAGCGTACTTCTTAAGTTACCATAACCCCACTGTAAATTAGGAGATGTCGCAAATGTCCAAACCTGCTTAAAATGCCACCTTTAAGTAATACGATTCGTCCATATAACTCGTCGAACTCCTAACCGTTTGAACTTTTGTTATCAGTTTATGCCATCCAACTTTCCTTTAATACGCCCCCACCCCTCGACACCCATCTCATATTTCCATTCCATCCCGACTTTTCATTTAATATTGGAACAACTAAATATACAGAAGTATCCAAAATTGAAATATGAATTGAGTCTTTAAATTTATAATTTGCGTAAATACTTACTCTGTGAATTTAGGCTGATGGCACAAAAGATGATAACTGAAACCAATTGTTTACAACAGTACATGTTTGTGTCAGTTTGATTTCTTAATTTCAAATTCACTTCTTCATTCTACAAATGTCTTTAAAAATAATTAGACTGGGCTAGATGTTGATGTTATTTACTCTTATTACACGTCACGTTAATACCAGGAAATTGTCATTGCATTTCCGTTAGCTACAATAATACCAGGATTCAAACCACTTAATTTGGGAATTCGGAAGTATTATATCGCCAAACATCGCTATTTGTTTTCCGTCTCAGGCGCGAGCATTGCTTTGCTGATAACGCGAGAAAGTGAAGTCGTGCAATATTAAACAAATATTAGAAATGACGTAAGCGCGTGATTTACGACCCAGATTCCAAGAAAACCAACTTTGTTGTATACACCACTGAAATTTTACCATTTAAACCCCATTTCTTACTGCAGAATGCTCTCGGTGTTGGGCTCTGCTCCTGTTTTCCGAAATTCTATCCGGAATGTCTCCTTTATTATTGTTCATTTTTGTTGCTGTTTGAACTCACGGCGTAAAGATACGACCGCAGTTGGGACTGGTCGCATTATTTGTATTGCGTCTGTCTTGTAAGTGTGGTTTAATGGTCGAGAGCAAGACATTAAGTAATATATTGTAACAACATGAGGGCCGTGAGGCCCGAATGTTTTTACAATATATTACGCAATGTCTTAAGCTCGAGACCATTAAACAACTTAAAATACAGACACTTGCACGTGCTTTGCAATGAAATACGTCACTCGAGTTCAATATTTTACCAAGTTACGCTTGGCACATTGCCCGTACGATTATTTGAAATAATGGTACTCAAACATCAAAGGGTGACTTCACATCTGTATTTTAAATCATTTTAATTGAAGACTATCATTACAGTCCTGGTACTCTACACCACAGTTGGCGGTTACGGCTGGCCTCCGGACCCATTTACTATATTTGAAATAAAATGAAATGAAATGAAATGGGTTTAACGTCCTACTGTTCTGCTCCTATACTGGACTAATGAAGACGGGCATACGCCATATAGTGTGCTATGAGGGAAATTTTGCCCGGGTAGCGGCACTATGGCCTACTCTTATATCGAATTCCAACTGCCAGGGGATCTTTTACGTGCATTTCAATATATACACGGGACCTTGGTTTTTCGTCTCATCAAAAGGACTATATTTGAAATATATATTGCTTATTTCTTGCAATGTATGTGTTTTCTGTCTTATCCGCGGGTTATTATTTCGGTTTTGTGTATGTAGTGCAGTCCCCCAGCACTTACTAATATTTAAATTCCAGATAATAATACTGATATATATTTTCGGAAATATTCAAAGGCCGATTTTCTCATTATAGATGACACGTCATTAGATATTTTACTTCATTGCGTATAGGCTACAACAGAGACCCGTTTTTTCTGGACCCCCGATAATTGTGAAACCTCGGATTTCGGATGGATTAACATTTAAAAGGGGAAATTAAGAATGAAATTTGTATCGTTACTGAGACTAATTCAGAAACCTCGGATTTCGGACGAATTAATATTTAGAGAGAATTTTTTTTTATATAAAATGATCTAACTCTCAGTTAAACATATAAGTAAAATTCAAGTATTAGAGAAAAAACACTAAAATTAAATTTTTGGCTAGTACTTTCATCGTTATCAAACTAATCGTCGGGTCACTTTAATGCGTTACTATGCTGTTACAATAACGTTACGTCATAACAGAGGAAAATGACTATGTAAAATATAAAAACTAAAACGAAATAACATTAATTAAACTTCAAATATAATTAAAATAATCACCCCTTAGCATTCAAAATTGGGTTATATTTACAGATAAAGTTGCTTTCTTTTGTTTCCAAGTGATCATTATTATTAATATTGAGCTTGCACAAAGGAAAAATCTAGAACTGACATTTACCACAAATATCCAAATGTTCGCTCGCCGACAAGACTCTATTTCTTGCGAGTTTTATATTAGTACGATGTTGGTTAATTCGTAAATTCAACTGATCAGTAGTTTTTCCAATGTACTTGCCATTATATATCCCCTACTTTTTTTTAAAAAAGTAGGGGATATTGAAATGCAAATACCTATGCAGGTTGTGATATGATAAATAGTCATGCACACTTGACATGCTTTGAGAGTATGTTCACAGATGAAGAACTTATCGCCCCAACAAGCCACGGTGGGGGCCTGACAAGTACAGCTGTCTAGTCCTTCGGATATATTGGAATGCTTGTATATATTGGAATGCACGTAAAAGATCCCCTGGCAGTTGGAATTCGATATAAGAGTAGGCGATAGTGCCGCTGCCCGGGCAAAATTTCTCTCATAGCACACTGTATGGCGTATGCCCGTCTTCATTAGCCCAGTATAGGAGCAGAACAGTAGGACGTTAAACCCCATTTCATCTCATTTCATTTCATTTATCGTCCCAACAGAACCACTGAGCTGCACATGCGACACGCAATAGCGCCATACACGTGGAAGGGATTCATTGTCAAATTTGACAATCCTAGGAAGGATTGATGAAAACTGCCGCGTGCTGGTTTATCTACCCATGTTTGCTTTCCTGTCGGTTCTTGCATAAGATTTACTGTTCAGCGTATTTTTGCTTTAGTGTGCTACCTTTAATTTGATCGGGAGACGTGTTCGTCGTCGTCAACGTCAACCGACAACACTGCAAGAATTGGCCGTGGCACTGCAAGAGGAGTGGGTCAGGTTGCCCCAAATCCTGATTGGACGGTTGATTAGGAGCATGCCACGACGAATTGCTGAATGTCTGAGGATTGGTGAAGCAATTACTCATTATTAAGACAAAAATCAAAAACGTCCATTTTCACTTTTGACGGTGTATCTCTTTGCGAATGAAATGGGGCCGTCAGATAAGCCGCCCATATTACTGTTTATGTTCATGTGTGGGCAATTGGCCTGTCATTAACATACACTAGTTACTTCTAATAAAAACAGCACTGCATTTCCGCAGTTTTGTATTGTTTCTGAATATCCCCTTCTTTTTTTGAAGAGTATGTATACCACAACTGTAGATTAAATGTCATGAAAATAAGTATCTTTAAAAGGTTAAAAAGGTAACTTGTGATTTGCCAAATTTTTACTATTAACACAGTAGGATTAGAGGTTTGCTAATGAGGTTGTAAGCAAATACATTTACACATGATTAAATTAAATTTGTGATTGAAAGTAAAATGACTCATAAAGATGCATTATGTAAGATTTAGATAAAGAGTTGAACGTTCTTCCTATGAATATATTGAAATTTTCATTCAAAGTACTTTATTCAGAACGAAGTTATGGGCGTTTTATGGATTGACAAGATCAAGCATAGATTGTTCATTATCGTAGCAACGCTTCTTGACAACCGAGACTTAGCCTCGATTATCTATTTTATCGTTAAATTTTGAAATCTCACGGGTGTTTTAATCCAATTAAATCTCAGCCAGCTGATGCTCTAGAGTTGATTATAGGCATGTTATGTACATAAATGTCTAATTAATAATTATTATAACATTTGAAGCCAAAATAAACACCTGGAATAGGCCGAATCGGCTCTTACATAATGCATGTTTAAGAAAGAGTATTTCATATTTTATTTTAATTTCTGGATTTCCGCATATCTAATTGTATTAGTTATTTTGTTTCTCAAGTATTTGGGTACCTTACATTTTCTTTTCTTTTGGACTATGTTTTCGTTTTAGAACGTAAAGACTATGTTATATAAACAGTGGAAGTTTAAGCACCCCCTTTCTGTGGTGTTATGTTTCGGCCACTTGCCGCGTCGCACTCGAAAAAAGCCTTCGATAAAATAAGCGACGTCGACTTTTTGACACGACGCCGCCTTTCAAAAAGCTGCGCGTCGCCCCTGGTCGCGTCACCCCTCGCGTCGCGTTGCGCGTCGCTGTTTAAAACGGATATTGTTTATAATTTTGGTGATGAAATGGGCATGTACCAGGAGAATTCATTTGCAATTTATTTGCGTTTGGTATTTTATCTTTAATACAGTAATTTATATTGGATACAAGGAACTGCCAATAATATCATTTATAGAACAGAACATTTCTATAATATCCAGATTATATGTTATATTTAAAGTTCTCTTCTAAACTTAAAATCGTAAACTCTAGTGTGAATGAGTGACCCCGTGCTCTCCGCAAATACTGTCATACACTATAGTCAAACACACGATGGCAGGGTACTGTATAGGTATGGTTTCCGTTATGTACATCAGTTGTTTTATAGGTTTTCAAGTGTTGTATTACTTATAGTATAAACATTCATTGACATTTTTACAGACAGAATTAATAGAGAATATATATTTTTGGGGATATCCTACGACGAATATATTAGCAACCCTGAAGAAATCAGATTAAGACAGTGTTGTGAATACCCCTTACAAAACACAAAATGATGATACTAGTCTACGGCGTTGCTGGTCCTCCTTCGAGAGTTAAGCTCTAGATACAGGAAAGAATACATATATTATATTTATAACGATGGCTGGAAAGTTGGTGATCGGGTAGCCTTGGCTATCACCACGGTATCTGAGACCGTTTTGTGTTCGCCTTCCACATGCTGCTTCTTTTTTCACGGCCGAACTCCAGATCATTTTAAGGTGCTTTAGAGTTCATTCAATCATTACATATTGAATACAAGTCATATTTACTGTTTCTTCTCCCTCGCTAAATAATACGCAATAAGCACATTGTGTATTATGATTTGTGTATCTTGTTTTATTTTCTTTTTTGGATTTTTTTTCTTACCCAAGGCGTCCTTGTTGCGTAATATTAAACAGTCGTTTTCATAGCTGTGAGTTGGAGATGTAATTATTCACAGACACATGGATAAATGTATTCTCTTCCTCCCCTGCTCCATATCAAAACCCATAACACTTCTAGTGGTATGCAGTGTCGAACCGCCTTTAATTATATATCAGCTTTTTCCTTATATACAAGCAACATTATAATTTACAATCATTACTATCTTACACCACTACTCAGACATAAATCTATGTCCTACACCGTTCCTTATATACAAACATTATTATAATC